ACTGGCCCGCACCCTGCAGAGCAGCGATGCAGACTTCTGTCTGATAATGGCATGGAAGTCATCAACGTGTGCTTGAGCGAACATGCCAGATGCACTGCAGAAACGGGGCAGTCCCATCAACATCGATCATAGACGCAATTAATTATACATTTCTTCTTCGTGGTTGAATGTTAACGATTATATCACTAGCGTAAGTACTTGGCAGCATTTTGATACAGGATAATAAACCTTAAAATAGTTGTATAAAGCAGACTTTAAACTGTCAAACACCAAGCGGTCACCGGTGACCGCGACCCATTGTTCTTTAATTGTGTCTATAAAACCGGTACTCGACGAGTTAAATGGCACCGTGACTCTTTACAATGTTTTGAATTAGCAGTTGTCAAGCTTCTGAGGAGTTGCAGAGATTTTATAGAAATATCTTTTAATACTTCTGCTTACGACCTTGATTCAGGGAGTCTCGGTTATTTTTAAATTCCATGGTAATCTGTTTACAATACACGGTGTGTACAATAACAGAAAAAGCTATTAAACTATAAATTGGGCACAGACATTTATGTAACGCGTTCAGTTTCGCGGAAGAATTAATTTTGGAATGTCAGAACTTTTTTTTCGCTGTAGGTAACATCGTTTTTGGTTGGCAACCTACAATTTGAATATGCCACATTCTGGAATATTCAAAATATTTATTCAAAAAGTTCAAAGTTTCAGGAAATGTTTGAAAATATAGGTTTTGGTTATAATTTACCTTACACCAATAGCTACTTGCTAAAAATTCAACACAATTTTAAACCGTGTTAAAAGTAAATTACCAAAAATATCGGTACAATTTCTGACAAAATCTTAAAAAAATTTGGGTTGTATTAAAACGATGACCACTCACTCATGTTTATTTAAAACAGATCAATAAGCAGTCGATTTGAAAACCAGGTCAGTAGGGGCAGTAGCAAATTAATGTGAAAAGTTTTTGTGATTTGTAACTTTGCGAGTTATCTACCATCCGTGGCTCAAACACGTTGGCTATATTTCGACAGATCCATAATATTTGATTGATGGCTTCGAGTTTTGTTCTATGATAAAATTTACTATTATTTTTATCAACTTCCACTTTACTTTCTAGTGCATTTGAAATAATGACGTTAAATTAGTATTAATAAGGAATTAAATAGGTTCCTAGTAGTTATTATATGAATGACCAGGACATTCTGAAAAAATGAGAACCGATATAATCATAAATCAATTTCTAACAAAGATATGTCGAGGATCCCAGTTTCATAGCAAATAAATAAAAATGATTCTTTTCCTTATTCTCCCAATAAAGATTTTGGTTTAGTCGCCTTATTTCTTCAACTTAATGTTATCAAGTTCAATTCCCGAGGTTTTCTAGTCTCTAGAGGATTTAGCAGAGTACCGGATTATGATGTCCAGTGTATTACGAAAATAATTCTTTGTCCAATAAATGGGACCTTTGATAATATATAACACAAAACGAGATTGTTTTCCTTTGATCTTCGTATCTTTGAAAAAAATAAAGATTCATGCTCGTAGTTAAATGTAAGAGCTTAAAATTTTTAATGATACCATTTCACCTCTAGCGGACTGCGAAGGGCAAACAACAGTAACTCGTAAAACTACTAACATTCAGCCGAAACTTGATGAGATTCAGTAGTTGGTATTGACTCATCGTAATATTTAGAAAATAGTTTGAAAATGACCTTTATCTTAAGAGATTTTTTTTAAATATACCAATAATTGTAAATTTTATTACTGATTTGTCTTCTAAAATAATTCCGGACAGGTGTTCTGAAAAAAATCTCAAAAAGATCTGGGAAGGTTCGCACAATTGGTATAAAACCTTCTCGATCGTAAAACCCAGATTAGTGTCAGGATTGTCATAGATCTATAAAACCTTAATAGGAAAAAAGTCTCGACAAATCCGGTGAGAGTAATGAAAAGAAACATGCCGTATTAAAATTGGCAGTTTTTGTAAAATATAGTGCCTACCTGTGTAGCAGCATCATACCTTATTATTTTATATTTTAGAAAATAAATTTTATTTAGCCTAAAGTGTGAATTTACTTAGGTATATGTTTTTTGGTTCACGCTCAAAAGCCCACAGTTAACGCCAGTAACGGTAACTGACGTTGTTGTTTTTTTTTACTCACGAGATTGCCTCCAAAATTCATTTTTGAGAGAGAATACTGTGCAGCTGTAAAAAGCAGGTCATATACAGAAATAAATGTCACCATACCAACCGTTAAAATATTGTTAAAGTCACTTTTATGATTAATATATTTTGTTTTATTGGTATTTCTGACAAATATATTTTTAACGGATGTTTATGGGTGCAGAATTTTTAGGTATCTTACAAATTAGGTTCATGTTCTTTCTTTGGCATTCAGAACGAATATCATGTTTATAATCATAATTTCATTCGACATTATCTTTTTGTGTAGATTAATAATGATAATGATAAGATAATGATGCCATCACACAACAGTGTTTAAGAACGCACAGAAAGAAAGAAAGAAAAATCATATTTTCGACAGTAGGCTCGCACATAAATACAAGGATTATTAAAAAACACAAATACTCATATAATACAAAATAATAATAAACTTAAAAGAGTAAAAAAGTACACAACAAAAAAGAAACAGCGAAGTATAAATAGTGAAAGTACAAAAATATAAACAGAAATTAAACATTAACAAAAAACATTATATAAATGTTTTTTGTTAATGTTTAATACCTTCCTAAATATATAAACTGTTCCTAAAGATTTATCTACTGTTCCTAAGGATCTATTCATTGTAGTAACTTGTACCAACTGATAGAACAATACAGCTGAAAAAGGCTGAAATCAAATATCCACAAACAATTTACTATTGTTCATCCGACTTATTCGCTATCTTTCTGCGAGTTTGGCAATGAAAAGGTAATCTTTCTCGCAAGCTGTCGGTTTTTGCAAAATAATATATTTTGTCGGAAAACAGAAAAATAACATTCTGTTTACACATGTACGAAAATGTACTTAAGGATAATATTTATTACTTTTTGAACTTCAGTATAATGCGATTACAAATTGAATACCAAATTGTGTTTTGGTGGTACCTATATGTACATTAAAGGATAGTCAAATACACCAAAATTTTCATGTAAATTGTTACCAAAAAACTGCACTAAAACCAAGTTTCTAACTCAATATACCTTAAATCTATAACTTTACAAACCTTAGTCAAAATGTGATATTTAAACAAGTGAAGGCTTTTGAAGAATTAAATGGGTCTAGGTTTTATCTATTATCTTTAACTATGACGATATACCTGTGCTCCAAAAACCTTGTAATATTTTAGTCACCTAGATTTATTTTGTACCAAAAAAGCACACGGTGGCAAAAAAGCACACGGCTCACCTGATGGTAAGCGGTTCCCGTGGCCTATGTAGATGTGCTAAAGAACATTAACGCAGGTCAGTGTCCTCAAAAGAAAATAATAAACACGTACGAATAAATTGTATTACTTACTGTACAAAGACCGGGAACTTGTATTTCATTTGAGGAAGAAGTTAGTATTCAAAACAATATCTGATGAAAAACAGACATTTGTAATGAAGTGTTTCTTTTTATACGTTTCTTATTTATTACTTTGCATAAATAGCAATCTGCTTCGGCTACGACTGTTTTCATTTTGGGAAGAATTCTTGAGTATTTTTATTTTTGTTGGCTCGTGGTATTTAAAAGATGGCGGTTGTTACTTGTAATGAAAAAATAAAATAGGTCAAGTACAAATCGTCTTTACACAATACTAGCATCATTTAATCACTATTCAGAATAGAGTATACATCAATTCTCAATAGCATCGGAACAAGGCACGTTTATATTCACGTATGTATAAGTATTCTCATTTTGAACATTTTCAATTATCCATCTTTTATTATAAAAGTATTCTACCTTTTGACAGTTAGACGACGTAGCGTACGATATTCCTTAGTTTTTGTGATGGAATCCTGAAAATTACATCTTATACAAAAAGGGAAAAAAAGATCAAATGCAGAGGTCGAGGGCGTTGAAGTGCGAGATCAAACAGGAAAATGGAAAATATAACAATGGTCGCGAAAATGTTGGGTCCAACGATAATTTTGATTGTCACGATATTAATCAGGAAATTGACATGTTTGACAGAATGATAGATTTATGGGTTGGGGCGTATTTTAGAAACATTTCTCAAACTATCATAATAGTTTTCAAGGTTCATTATAATTTAACCCTTCTACATCTGTCTCGGAAGTTTTGACAATAGAATTTCAGTTTGAGTACCAGCAGTACCGTTGTACTGTAACGTTAAACTATCTTTGTAACTTTGTATACTAGGGTATAACATGTACAATTTTCAACGTAGGTAATCCTATCAGCCGTTGTGCCCATACAATCGTAATCCGAACAGATAGACCTTTCCGTATACGAACGGCGAAACAATACTGACGCAACAAGATTCTAAAGCCATTTCAATCTATGTAGGGACGCTAAAAGGCAAAACTTTTAGGAAAAATCAGACTATGTTCTATATTGATAAAAGAAACTGGTCATGAATGTGTTAGCCTCAGTCGTATAGCCATGTGCAGCAATTGACCATGACCTGGGTGAGAAAAACGTGATTCCAAAAATATGTTGATAAATACCCACGATTTTCACAAGAATTCTGTTGAAACTGCGGACAGAAGGTAGACTACACATTCGGGCATAATAAATAGATAATAAATCCTTAAGTACTAGCTGGTTAAAGAAACATGTCTAAGAAAAATGCGATGGAAAACTCGCAACAGAAATAGCCCGCGGGTGGTATAATTAGTGTAAATACTAGGATAAGGTTGTTTATTTACGATATCGGTTCTAGCTCGATTTCTCGTGTTTGTTATGAAAACACTAGCCACATGTTAAAGAATGTATATTTTACCTTTATCGTCTCCCGGTTCTATGTTGTTCATCCTCGTTTTTGTTTCAGAAGATGGCAGACGAAGTGTGTGAAATACTGAAGAATGAACCATGATCGACAACTTAACAGAAAATATGTACGGTATCAAGTTACTCGTCAGCAAAGATTTTAAACAGAACAATGTATGGGGGTCTTTTAACAAGACGGAGGCAGTCGAAACGAGTGCTGTCAACGTGTCAAGAGTGAACCAGACAATATATTCACTCAGCGACGATGAGTACATATTCGACAGAACGGATGTTAGAGCCATATTCATTACCCTCTATACGATCGTGTTCTGTTGCTGTTTTTTTGGTAAGTATATTTCTACATAATAAATTGAATAGTACAATATTTAATAGCCTAGCCTAGATACATAGCGATTAAAAGTAGTTGCGATTCGATCGAACATACTATTCGTAGACTTATTGTAGAAGTGTCAGTAGCAGATATTGAGTGATATATAAGTAATCTTAACGTTACCTATAGGTTTGTAAATAGAATACTTTTATATTCACACAAAATAAATGTTGTAGAAGTTAGTAGGTATACCTATTATGATTGTGATAACGTAATAATATTATTACTTCATGCATAGGAAGCAATAACAAAGTAAAAAAATAGTCATACTCAAAGAGCCATCAGACCACCACAGATGGGGCCCAGTAGGGCTGATGCCCGATACGGAGCCGCGGAAGGCCTAACGGGTTGCCGGGGCTCAGGCTCGAAGAGCAGGAGTAGACAAGTCAAAAGTCTAACACTCCCTCTCGCCTAACCCAAGGCGGGATAAATCATTGGATGACTTTCCTCCCTCAAAAAAAGTCTTGCGCCAATTTTCATCATGCGTTTTTGATTTATTTCTGGTAATGTAGATGATAATAAAATAGAATATAAGAGTGCATTTCTTTCCAAAAGGCGTTCAGAACAATTGTATCATAAGGTTAATTTACATGAAGACAGCTGAAGTTTACAGCTCTTAATATTTCCGGGTATTTGTGCTTGTTTCGCTAAATTACTACCGAGTCAAAGGCTAAGAATTTTTCTCATTTTGTGGCTGTTGGTAATTGATTACTTTTTAAACACTCAGCTACTTAGAATTCTCCAAGTTTCTTGTAGGTTTTGTTTGTACGGTACATTCGTTATTTCTTTTCTTTTTGTTCGAAGTTTTCCTTTATTGTAGGTACGATTCAAGTTAACAATAATCTTTGTAAAAAAGTCGCCATGCTTTCGATTTCTCAAATTGTATATGGTATCCTCCCAATTATTAGGACATATTTTTACTAACATTGCGTCCATCATTAGCAGAGCCATGAATCAAACCTGTCTATAGAAACAAGGGATGAATTAAATAGTCATCAATTACGTCTGTCCATAATCATTGACATCATCAACATTATTGGATTAATACTTGGTATCTGGTGGCATCTCTCAAATATCACATGAATTGATTTGTTTGAAAATAGTCGTGGGTGGAACATTCACGCCGAGCAGATGTTAACTTTTTTTTTTACATAAATACATTCGTTGAACTTGCAATTAGGTACAGAATGTATTTGGATATTTGTTTCATCCAGGGGGATATCCCCCTATTTGTTTTATTTTTTAACATTGAGTTTTGAACTATCTGACATGCGTAGGTAACTCTTTTCACTTGCATCAAAAATAATGAATATAAAAGATTCAGTGAATTAAACTAATAATGTAGCAGTATGACAAAGCTTTCCATATAATGCTTTGCGTACAGCGAGCGGTGCGCAGCACAGTGTAACTTAAAAGCATGCAATTTATCCTACGTCCATATGCACGATGGCACAATGGTAGCCAAGTTTGAGTTCAGAGCAATTAGTTAGGTAGCTAACAAGTTAGTTAGAATGTCAAACTCTACAAATCCTGTTTGCCAGACTTGCCGTAATTTTTACATCAACGTTTTCATTGTATAAATTTTATTGAATTGGAGACATTTTACGGCAGTTCTAGATCTGGATCTTGCTACTTATTTCAGTTGTAGTGAAAGATCAACGAGATTAAATTTAGAGATTGCTTTATAAATATCTTATTGTGTAAGAAACGACGTACCTACCTGCTCGGAAATGTTTACGAGGCTCATAATTCTTGAATGAAGCTCTACCTACCGAAATCTGTTTACTTTTGGATCTAAAATTGAGTATTAGTGGTTGTTAGTTTGTATACTTGTGCTACGTTTTACCTGGAACACAGTTGAAAAGGAAGAAAAATTGTGCGCACAATTCTCACGTGTGGCATTGTCTTAAAATGTTCCAGTCAGACTCATATCTCATGCGAGATGAATAGCGTTTTCCCGACGGCTAAAATCTTTTTTGTTCTCTATTTGTTGCCTTCATTTTTGATGAATATTCTATATTATATTCTTGCAGAGCGAAAGATCAGTCACTTATCGACCAGAAAAAATCGAAATTTATAGGCTTTTACCATATGTAGGTGACTTATTGACATAAAATAAGTCCCAAAGCGACAAAGTAGTGTTTTTTTAACCTGTTTTTACTCGGCGGTAAGCTCAAAAATAATGAAAAATATTGTATTTTTTTAATTTATTGACGTAGCTGGAGGCTATCATTATCGTAATCACATTAAGTTCAGAATAGTTATTATTATTTAAAAGGATCTTGACAATTATAATTAAAGTCAGTTAGCGAGAGTTAATTCATTAAAATTATTATCAAGTTATATAGGCACCTATTAGAATAAGTAAAACAATGTTATTATGTTTCAACAGTAATGTGATGTACTTTTCAGTATTTATTAGAGTTTTTCTTAAATATTCTTAGATGTTTGATCAACTGTAAAAGAAAATCATGATAATTTCTTGTTTGTTTTGAACTAGATTTTACAGATTTACTTTTTTGCTACTTTAAAAAAAGTTAAGTTTCGGAGAGATATTTAGTACAAAGTAGCTTAGCTTATAAAATGTTTTTAAAAGACTTTGTCATACTTGATTTACTATTCCAATATACTTAAATATTTTAATTTAGTTCAAAGTGAGTTCTCAACATTTTTAAATGAGAAAATATACCTTTAAAATGTCTCCCTATATATTTTAACTTAACTAAGAGCCTTCTTAGTTTATTATGTAGTAGGTAGGTTCTGATGTAAGTTGAACTGAATTATTTTGAGACAAAATCATTTCACAAGACTTTTGAGAACGCAATAATATTCTTACAGCTTTTTTAAGATTGTATAATATTAGCCAAAGTTACAAACTATTATAGCATACAGTGTATACTGGGTATTTTCTTAAAACACATACGATGTACTACATTGTATATTAAACTAGCTTCTGCCCGCGACTTCGTACGCGTAATCCATTTTTTCCCGTCCCCGTTCGTGATTTTTGGTAAAAAGTAAAAAAAAAATTGGTCAAAAAGTATCCTATGTCGGTCTCCTGGCTCTAAGCTACATCCCTACCAATTTTTAGCCAAATCTATTCTGCCGTTCTTGAGTTATAAGTGGTGTAACTAACACGACTTTCTTTTATATATATATAGACTATATCAACCTTCTTATCGGATTTAGGAATTTGTTAAAAGTAAGGTCATAATAACAATAAAAGTAATTACTTAGCACTTAACTATAACCGAGTTACTCACATAAATATGTATACTGAGAAAAGGTCTTCTAGTTTCGAGACATACCTCTATAGGGACTCTTGCTCAAGAACTGCGTCCGCGGTCGTGCGACTATGTCGCGCAGCCTATATTGCCGCGATCGCGCACGTATTCATTTTTATTTCAGCATGTCTCACCATAGTTATTATAGAAATGTACTTAGCTTATATACTAGAGATTTTTCTTTAGAAGCTATAAAAACGAATAATAACCATATTTTTCGGAGTCCATTTTTTGTTGCTAGCAGCAAAATTAAATTTTAATAATGGTTTGCAATAAATATATTTCACTTCAAGTACTGTTTGCTCAACATTTAATAGGAAGTTGTGTAAATATAATCCATAATAAAATCATAACTTAATTAAGTGTTCTGCTAATAAGACTGAGTAAAGTTTACTATCAATTTTAATAACGAGGTAGTAATTTGAATGAATTATAGGGTAGGGTCCTAAATTGTTTTTAATAGCTGAATTAATATTTGTGAATGGAAAAGCCTAGATTTCAAACGATTCATTAGTCTTCACAATTTTTTATTTTAGCCGTATTTGCTTATTTGTCGATGTTTCCTTAACCACCAGTTTTTTTTTTTAAAAAGAACAACGTTGCCCAGGGGAAATGGTATAGGCATAAGGTCCATACTATTTTCTCCTGTGTCGTTGGTGTATTTACAAGCGTAGGATTGTACATACACATGACACCAGACCCGGAATAAAAAATTGGGCATCTCAAAGAGTCGCTCGGTGAAGGAATCGGACCCGCTACTAGTTGCGCGGCAGCCGTTGAAAGTAGTTTCAGTATCTAATGAAACGGAAATAACGAACACTATTTATTCATTTAATCTTAGTTTTCTTATTTTAACGGTAATTTAAGATATGGAGGGCCTATTTCACCATCTTCATATTAGTACCCGATAGACTTACTGGCAGATAGTTCATACAAATTATTCTAATTCGAATATACCTAGCAGCTGACCATCGTGAAACAAGCCCTTAGTATGCTATCTATTTCACGCAAAACACCTAATGATGATAGAACTTGTAATCTCCTAGAAGAATTATAATTTTTTGACATTTCGAAATAAGTACTGTTTCACTATTTTTTTCTCTAAGCTGTAAACTTAATGACTTGTTAAAATCTTATTTTACGTGTAAAAATCTTATTTTCATTGTGACGATCTCTTTGACCCACCTGATTTATATGCAGAAGTTGTGGGTTAAAGTTAACTTAGAGCTAACTACTACCAAACTGTTGCAGTGTTCAGTCTAATTGTACCCAAGCTTATACACTTAAACAGAACACAGCCACAAACAACTATTAAGTGCCATTTTACTGCCGTCCAAGCGTCAATAAAACTTTAGCCAAATGAGTTTTTATACTTTTCTAGATTAACAGAAATTAAGTTAAAAAACAGTGTTGTTTAGAGAGTAAAGGTTGAATTAATAATGATTTTACAAACTTTATGGCTCAGACTTCTGAGTTTCATGTTGCGTGAAATTATGTTTTTTTTATAGATCAAGAGGTACGGATCAAACAAAGTTTTATAGAATAATATTAAAGCTAATTACATAATTTCGTCCATTTCAGGATAAAGGATAACAATTTGTCATTAACAGTGTCATAATTTCCCAACAAATATAAGTACACTAGCTAGTTCCGTGCGGTTTCACTCGCTCTTCTCGGCGCCTATTAACCGTAGCATGATATTTTAGCCTATATAGCCCTATGTAGCCTATAGCCTACCTCGATAAATGGGCTATCTAACACAGAAATAATTTTTCAAATCGGCTAGTAGTTTCGGAGATTAGCGTGTTCAAACAAACAAAAAAACAGACTCTTCAGCTATAAAATATTAGTATAATCGTAATAAGGTAATAAGTCATTCTTCCATAAAATGCTAGCATCAAATAACCAATATAATTTAATGAGCAAATTTCCATTAAAATGAGTAACATGATATAAGAGACAGAGTTTTGTTTCAATAAATCAATATTCAATAATAATTGTCAACATTACATGTTAATTAAAATGGTGACAACAGTGCTCCTTTTCGTAACGTTGGAAGCTTATGAATCAATTTGGAACGGAAATTTCAAATTGAGTTGACGCTCTGTCAGATGCAAGTAAAAGACTATTATGTTCTCAGTTGGCTGTGCAGCAGCTACTAATGCTTTGTTAACTAGAACACACATACGTACAACGTGCTTTTAAACTGTTTCATTACAATGGATAATTATCTACACTGCAGTGACACGACCTAATTGAATGGAAAAGTAGAGATGATGAAAACATTGGTAATTTGTGTGAGTTATGTGGTAAAGAAGAAAGGAGTTTGTGATAGGATGATCTCTGATAAAGGAAGGATGGAAAAAAGGAGACATTTAGACTTGCCAACCTCAAATAGCATACGATTATTCCGGAAAGAAGAAGAGATAATTATGACCTAATTATCAGTTTTAAAATGAATTTAAGTATTTTTAAATTAACTATCTTTCTCGGCTTACTATAGGAACTGTTTGACGAGGAACTCGACCAGTTCCTCATACTAGAGGCTCATGTTCATGAGCAGCATTCCACGACACGCGACGCGGTGACTATTGCGGTAGAGTAATAATAATCTTTGAGGCGAAGTGACGGGCATTAGCGACCCCGCGGGCTACTATCATCACGAGTGTTCCAGGAACTGGTCTCCCGCCTCTGGCTTGCCTTCATTGGCCGTCCAGAGTGGAGTCGCGAGAGCAATGATCCTGCTCGGAGGGTAAGAAACTATTCGTAAGTCACGAGTGGGCCAGGGATGCAGGAGGCTTCGGCTGAAGCAGATGATCTGATTAGAAACCGGTGCTAGTTTCTTAACTATTCCTTCAGCCACTCACATTCTCGTTTTGGCTCTGTTGCTATATCCAGCAACCATTCCCGGGGCCCGGTCGGTGAGTTGGTGAGTCTCCGCCTGCCATTTTTATGTGTAATAATTACATTGTTTCGGCAGGTGCCAGAGTCATCCATAGTTTACAATTTACCGATACAACAACCCATCCATAACCTTACCTATTTTTCCATTATCCGCAATAATTTTACAGTAACCGGGGACTATCCTTGGGTGCATTTCCATAGTGCACACAGGGCTAACCCAGTGTTTGTAAATGTAATGGACACACAAACCGATGACTAATCATCGGTTTGTGTGTCCATTACATTAAGATTAAAGTTGTCTAAAGGACCTCTGGGCAGTTGGTTTCGGCTACTCGTAAGCCTCCCAAATGACCGGGACCCTGCGGTCCCGTGAATGGTAAAGACATATATAATAATAATACTATTGCGTACCGTTACTTTGGTATTTTTATTTTTTTTGAGAAATGTTGAGGTTCATTTTGAATATTAAGCGAAATCGATCCAATCAGTATTTTACACGACGCGCCCGCCATCTGGATTCCGTAACCTTGATATTATTAAGGTCTTTGTTATAGATATTGATAAGATCAAAGATTAGGATAAGGGTGGTCGTAGAATTAATTAAATTAACCTTACAGAGGCACAATCTGGAAGTAAAATTGTTATGGATATTGTTATGGTTTGACATATTTTGTATCCTTTCCTACGGAATAGTGAAACGGACCTTTAATATTTATAAAACACTCGCTTCTAGGCTATGCAATATCCAAGAAGTTTTGTACAGTACAGATATATAACTAGAAAGAGGGAAAAAACAAACCTTTTGGATTTACAATGTTAGTTAGGATATGTTTTTAAAATTACTGTCGTGAGACATACTTAATTAACTAAAAGCGGGTTACTGACGTGAAAAAAGCTATACAACTCGGTAAAGTACAGTCTACTACCTAAGTTAGGCGCGCGACATCGCCGCGACCGAGCACGCTGCTCATGAGGAAAAACCCTTCTGTGGGTTCGAAACTAGTAGAGCTTTTTTCCGTATATTCACGTGAGTAACACGCGATTTTTAGTGAGGATAATTGGATCTAGTCTACAAATCAAAACATTGGATGTTGCATCTAGTCTATAAATAAAAATTACGAATTTCTAATTGTGAGACGTAACCACGTATTCTATTATTCCTAAACTACTAATCAATGTAAAAGCCCGCGGCAGGCCAAGCCTGGTTAGTTAAGCCTGGGATTAACTGTTAATAGATAACAATTGATTGTGACAAATCGATGTTTGTTTACTTGAACCGTGACGTATAATGCGATACATGTGTTTATATTACCAGCTTGTTGTAGTTCATTGCTAGACTATGAGTTTTTTTTAATAATAGATCTTGCTTTTAATAAAATGTCTATTTATTTTACACGTGGCCCCATACTTAGATTTTTCCTATTTCGTAGGTGCATTTACAGACACACAATATCCAAGTCAAAGTCAAAGTCAAAGTCAAAATAATTTATTTCAGTTAGACCAGGATGGCACTTTTGAACGTCAAACAACAAAAATTTATAAGTGAAACTAGTTGCTCATTCCAAGGCGTAGATTCCTATGGAGAAGAACGAGCAAGAAACTCCATAGGTTACTCTTTTTCAATCAGGTATCACATACACTCCACATGAAACCTAGATCCTGAACAACAATCTGTAGTTCACACAAAAAGTTGTTCCGTGCGGGAATTAAATCCGCGAAACACGCACGGCAGCCACCGCGGTAATCATGCAGTCAAATATTTATAAACCGGCGCTGCTACGCTGGGGTGCCGCTCTGTCAAATTGTTGTTCCTTAAATAGCCACAAAAGAGTAGGGGTGAGTTGTCAATTCTACTCTTTTAATACGTATTTTACTCTTTTATTCACTCCCGTCACTGCACTTTCACCTAGAAGGTGAATGAACCATTTTTCGATTGAATTTGACGTAGGTACATTTAAGCTATATAAACAGAATATTTATTTCGATTTGCAATCCATTCATAACGTCACATATGTTTGTGTCACTGCGTCTGCAATCATTTTGGATAAACTCGTTCGCACTAACGTTCACAGATGTTTGAACGTCTGCATGTAGGTATGGATATTGTGATTTATGCATATTGTAGTTGCTATACATGTATCTAGATGGTTGATAATACATTTTTTAAATTTGAGAGTTAAATGTACCTTGACATAAAAAAAAATTGAACAGTAACAAAAGTATTAAAGCAAAAGAAAATATCGGACCCACACAGATGTTACGTAGACCAAACCTGAAATTTTACGATACATGATTAAAGTAACATAACATAACACTACGCCTTTTATCCCCGAAAGGGTAGGCAGAGGTGCACACAGAAGTACTTGACACCCACTTTTCACTATTTATATTATGAGTCCCATGTAATAGGGGGTGAGTCTATTGCCATATACCGGGCACAATTCCAGACTCCGTGCTACTACTGAGAAATTTTTAAAAGTCCAGTTATACTTTGCCCGACCCGGGAATCGAACGCCAACGAGGCAGTGATTAAAGTAAATGTTTATATACTATACACAAACATATCCTTATAATATCCGTAACTAAGCAACAGTTGTATGGATTTTGATATTTTGTTACATTCCTAGAAGTAATATTATTGTTCTGCTGTTGTCCCTATCAATTCTCATTAAATAGTATATTGTATAATATAATGGTGGTCTTATGATGTTGGTAATTGATGGAGTATTCTAACAGTAATGTATGATGTTTGTTTCAGGTAACTTGCTCGTTATCCTCGTGGTTACTTTATCGAGGCGGCTGCGCTCCATAACCAACTTCTTTTTGGCGAACCTCGCCGTGGCAGATTTATGTGTCGGCGTGTTTTGTGTCTTCCAAAATTTGACTATATATCTTATACCGAGGTGAGTGAATTGAAGCATCAGGTAAACAAAATAATACGTAAACACACCGTGTTTTAAACAGCACGTTGAATGAATTAGTGGTTAGTAGAAGGCCTGAACCGGTCAAATGTAAAAATAATGGCTGCGCGGAAAAGTATGGCGCAAAGTGCCTAAAACTTTATTACTATCAACAGCTGTGTTTTTTAAGATATATCTAGGGTATCATTTTCATAAGTTATAAGACATTAACATAATGGTGAAGTGACATGCGAGAAATTGGAGTGTCAAAACAATACGGAAATTCTTGCGGTTGCTCTCATCAAGTAGGTACTCAACATTTTCCCTAAAGATGAAAAACTCGATGTTCAATCGTACCTATAATAAAATTCATGTAGACAGGAACATTTAATACATAGTAAAAGTGTCTACATGTAATACTATATCAAAATAAACACGATTAGAAAGAATTGTAAAGGATATTTTGTACATTAGTTCAATGTGTCTCTAATAACCTTTATATTCTTCAGGGGCCATAATTGTCTGGCTTACTATTCAACTATTTGCAAGGGTGACACTATCTAGGGATTAGATTTATACATCTAACCATCCAATATTAGGCATGTTAGTGTATCATGTTGCACAGACCATGTAAACAAGGTCTAATGTCGAACGCGTGTACGTTTAATTAATCCCAAATGAACGTTTTGTTTATTTTCGTTTAAGCTTTACCTTCTTTTTTAAAGTCGGTCATTTCATGACTAACCTCTTTTTTAGGTAGGAGTTTTAAATTTCCATAAAAAAAATAGCTTTTTTGTTGCATATTGCTAAGATTTTTAAAGTGTTTATATATATAGGAACTACAGTAATCAAATTATTTACATACGGACATCAATTGCAGTGCTGAAATATGAAATTTTCATACGTTTCATATGTAATTATAGAATTCGTTTCAAATAACAACATATTTATTTAACTTTAAACTTTTTCTTTAATTTTTGCTTACGAATTATATTTAACGAAGTTAATTACCTTATCGAGTACTCAAGGGGATCATTTCTATATCACTTCGAATTCGACGTAACTTTACAGAAATTATTAGGAGACACGAATTGTAAAGGAGAATGGAAGTTCGGTACAAGAGATCGTACTTAACGTATTGTACAAACATTTCATTTCTAAGAACTCGAGCATCCGTATTCTGCAGATATTTTAATATATATATATATAATTATATATATACTTTGGTTGGGAGCAAATAAACGCAACCACTAGGGTTTTTATTATGATTCAAGAATTTTATTAAGGTTCGATTCCCGAGTCGGGCAAAGTATTACTAGGTTTAAAAAAAATCTCAGTAGTAGCACGGAGTCTGGAAATGTCCCCGGTATATGGCAATAGGCTCACCCCCTCTATGGGACTCATAACATAAATAGTGAAAACTGGGCGTTACTTCTGTGTGCACATCTGCCTACCCCTTCGGGGTAAAAGGCGTGATGATATGGTTAATAGGTATGAGGGAGGAAATAACATTTTTGACATGTTAACGTTAGATACGGAAGTTAACGTCAGAGTTCAGAGAGGGCCATCGGCCTTGTGTCCGTGGACTGTGTAGTGTTCGACTGAGCATTGATTACTCTGTCATCTACATGAAATACTACCTCCCGTAGGAGGAACTTCTGTAACATCAGACGGCACCTAACTCCGCACACTTGTATTATCTCGACAACTTATACACGAGCGATTAAATTTTTACTAAAAATCTTAGTTGTCTGCCATTGCAAGACTTCCCCCTAAAAGTGAATCGTTTGCGTTATTAGCATAACATCACGCCTTTTATCCCCGAAGGGGTAGGCAGAGGTGCACATTATGCCACTGTACAATGTAACACCCACTTTTCACTATTTATGTTATGAGTCCCATGTAATAGGGGGTGAACCTATTGCCATATACCGGGCACAATTCCAGACTGCGTGCTACTACTGAGATTTTTTAAAAACCCAGTAATACTTTGCCCGACCCGGGAATCGAACCCGAGACCCCTTGCACGGCAGTCGCACTTGCGACCACTCAGTTATTAGTTATCGAGATAATACAAGTATCCTGCGTTAGGTGCTGTCCGGCGTAAAGGGACTTCCCCCTATACAATGGCGAAGTGTTCTAGGATATTGACTACAAATTATGTGATATTTTCTTATACTAGGACATGTAGGTAAATTTATCGTAACTTATGTTACCTTCTATATATTATGAAATATTTGAATCTTGAACAATAGGGATGAAGACAGAGTATGAAAATTAAAAATGTAGTTAGTTCGTCAGTTACGTAATGAAAAAATATTAGACACGTATTTTTTTATTTTGTTGTGTATATAAAATGATACTTAGTTATAACAAATCAAAGTTTAAGAGTGGGGGCTAAACGCTAAATTTCTACGTATAAAATGTTCATAGAAGTGACGTCACGCGACATTTCAAATCAATATATCTTCGAAACTATTCGTTACTGTAAAAAATTTAAAATACGTGTCTAATGTTTTTAAATAAGCTACCAGACGGACATTAAAATAAAAATTAGTCATTTACCCTATTCTAGTAAAATCTGATGCCATCGAGGCGACTTTCTGTTACCCTGTACTTAATATCATTCAAAATTTTGTTCGTATAATAAGCGCCCTAAAAACTTATCCCACTTTAGTTTTCAAACCCTACTGACATGTCCAATCACAAACAAAATACACATGTTCCGAAAAAATATTTCATAAATGACTTATGACATCGAAACAAACATAGCCACTAGTCATGTTCAGAGATTTGTGTTTGCCCTTCAGATGAATCCTGAAATATTAAAGGTTTATATATCATGAGAATTCGTGACTAGCAATTGTGAGAGTGACCGACCCGAGTGAGTACAATGATTGATATTGGTCTCTTAGTTTAGCACACATCTGAGCCTGTGTGCGTAAACTATGTCTATGAAGGTGTGACTTACGTAACACACTTCTGCTGTATGCTAAAGGACAATATATATAGAGTATAAAACCTCGGCTTCTACATCGAGTTTTCTCTGAATTGGAAATCCCAATTTACACTGCCCGTCATGACAATCAAACAAAGGGCCGCGTCCAGCTTCGATCGCGATCACCAGATCAAGTTCGATCGTTATTGAAACTAGAATAATTTCTATGATATACTTCCAAATTCAAGGATTTAATCAAGTTGTTACTGAGAACATTATTCATCAAATTTTGTTACGCTTAAATAAGGTTTAAACTTAGTTAGAAATCAAGAACACTAAAGTTTTATTATTTGGTATTTGATTTCAATGCGCTTAGTCATAGCAAGAAGAAACACGTAGGAACCTATAATAGGTATAATTGGTTAAAATTGGTTCCGATTTACCCTTTATATTTAGGGAATTTAGGGGAGCAAAGTTGAATGAAGAGATGAAGTGTCAAATACAGTTTTACAATTAAACATGATTCTAAAATATTTGTATCCTACCAGTATACATTTGATGATGAAGTTTATGTTCTGCATTCAAAAGTAATGTTTTATTCAAAAGAATACGAGTTCAGGTTGAGAGTTTTGTGTTTCTTTTTGTCTGAAGTATTTGGGAGCACTGAAGTATGGCTTTCAAGGACCTCGCCTATTGTTATTTTGGCGGTGAAAAAGTACTAGTAAGGTTATCTTCACTTTTCATAATTTTGACGACAAAAGATGTATACCCGGGGCGTCATAGCGCAAAAGAACCCTATAATTGTCAAAGAGACAGACGATATTGAGCTGTATTTTTTATTTTCTTATTTTTTTAACAATTATTCGGTGTCTGAACTTTTTTCATAGGCTTTATTAGGATCAGCATTATCTTAATAACAGTAAAATCACAAGAAAATAAATTTCCAACGTCAGACAAAATTATTGTTCAAAGCGAATTTTAGAATAGAGATATGATTATTGTATCAAAAGTATTTACAGTTCAGTAAAAAAAATGGAGTTTGACTTATCGCCTACGTTCAGTATTGTTGGCATCATAAATAATTTTACAAATGAAACGTATTAATCTTATTGCGAGCAGACAATCTTTGTTAGTCATAACTTAATTTTCATAGTTTTTATTTAAGATTATACTCGGCATTAACAATAATTTTATCTTAAAGAACCAGACAAAATGTTAAATGAAACGAACTCGATTTATTCAAAGTGTTTTGCTTATTTATATTGAAAGAGGTTATTTTTAGCCAACAATACAATAAACGAGTACTCTCTATTATTTATTCCAAATAATAAATGGATATTCACGGAGACGTTATTTAACTGTAAACCCTATTGTGGTTAATATAAGGGACAAGTTGAAATATTGAAGTAACTATTAGGTCATAATATAATCCAATATATTGTCGGTTGTAAAGGCTCGTAAACTAGACCCTAAACGTTAAATCAATTAGTATTTAAGGGTTACCTACGTTATTAATTACAGTGCTTTGTAAACTGTGATAGTCAGGCCTTGGATGTAGTTAAGAACCTACACTTTAGTTAGATAGTTTGCCTTAATGTTTACGGCCTAAAGATTTAATTTATTTTGCACAACAGAAGTTAGTACATAGTTTAATATATCGAGATCTTCACTAATACTTGGGACATCACAAACCCGCGAACTGTCACGTCAGAGGAATATGATAATGCCAGACAACTCGCATAAGTGTGAGGGGAGACTTGATAAAAATGACCTATAGTTCGCACGTTTGAACTTCTACTAGCCCTAAAACATTTGACAAATAATAAAAAAAATATGCATGAAATAAAACCTCTTTTTAAAATTAATTGTTTTTATTTCTCTAGTTCCAATTTCAAATATTCAATTCAATATCAAATTCTTTTGTTTGTTAATTCAGAAACAGTAAAAGCATTTTGACATAAAAATTAAAAAACACTAAATTAGTACCTAAAATATAATAACTACTTCGTTAAATAAAAAACGATTTTTTTTATTTACAGTTGGGTGTTCGGTGACTTCTTGTGTAAGATGTACCAGTTTGTACATTCCTTGAGCTACACGGCGTCTATATTCATCTTAGTGGTGATATGCACAGAGAGATACTTCGCTATAATACACCCCATCACTTGCAAGCAAATCCTCACTTCGACGCGACTTAGGGTAAGATTCAGTGTGTCACAAGTCACAAACAAAACGGCGAACGCGACACGAGGGAACGATTTCATCTGAATTGACTTCCTCAATTCTCCGACTAGGTCGACATTTCTGAATAACTTTGTAAACTATTCTGAGACAAATACAGTTCATTTCGTGTGACCGTTCGCCGTGGTATTGAACAATCTATCGAAGTAACATAATTATCCAATTTCCTTGTTTCCTGGAATTGATTTCGGTTAAATGTTTTAACTGGAATATTCTGTTATATTCTAAAGGATTGCTGCGCCATTTTCGTTATAGATCTAAGTCATGAAAAATGTAAAAGACAAACTACTAAACAGTATTTCAGTGTTGAAAGTTTGCAAGCTCCTGCTAAAGCAATTTTGTATCCAGCGCAGCATAGTTGCACCAGTGACAGCATAATCTCAATCCCACTGTAGCGTGCGAAATATAATTAGCAAGTTTGCTCTAACTCTCAGCTAAAAAGTAGACGGACTGAAAATATGCTGACCACATCAGCCTAAAATAATTCTTGTATAGAGTACGTTTAAAAAACCGAATTCAATTTTCTCTTTTTTGGAACTCGGCTAATTAATCCGTCGAGCGTCCGCGTTCCTTATGATCCAACGGGTGCACACGTGACATTTGGAGAAAGAAAGAAAGAACGAAAGACAATGCATTTATTTGGCCATCGGCACACGAAAACAAGGATTATTACAATAGAAATAAAAAATACAGTCAAAATAAAAACAAAACATTAATAATAGGTTTTATAAAAGAGAAAGCAGCATAGAGCATTTTTTCTTATGATCCACCGGGTGCTCATAAGGGTGCTCGAGGGGTTAATATATTAAAATATTCTCCTTAGTGTAATAAACACTTAGAAGAAACACTGAAACCTCATCAACATCGGTTCAGCCAATCGTGGGATAGCCGCGCATGTCTGATACATACATATAGGTCCAATTGAGAACGTCCTTCTTTTTTGAAGTCGGTTATTAAGACCTGTTTGACAGATTTTGTTTTCGGATAATACGGTTATGTATGAAATCAAGGAGGATTCGGTACCTAAGAAATTACACAAACGTGTTTTAGCCATCATAACATCATCGTCAGATGTAAAGTTTAAATAGCGTCCTGTGGAAATTTGAATGAATATACATTTTGTATTATAAAGTTTTGGAAAATTTTGGGCATTACCCCAGCTTGGTAACAGGTTTACCCTATTGTTTTTATGACAGCACTATATTTAGATCAAGCCAGTAAAAGGTCGGTGCCGGAAATTACAACTTCCGTAAAACATATTGTTTATAACTTCATTTCACGTGTTTATGTACTCGTTTCGCATAATTTCTCCCATTTGTAAGTATTATGCCTCCATGATTTTATAAAATAAAATTTACTTTAAAAGTTGTTCATACTGATTCACCGACACTTTCATGAGCCTACAAAATAAAATTAAACTTTGAAAATTATGCTAAAAGTGTGACGAAATGGATGAAAACAAAAATCAAATATAAGCATTTACTTTATGATAAATATTAAAAGATTTTTTCTTCGACAGTTGGTGATTCTTGGCGTCTGGATTACAAGTGCAGCGTACAGCGCTCCTAAGTTCATTTGGGTGGAGACCATAACGAATGACCTGGGCGACGGGCACATGGAAACAATATGTATTCCACACCGAAGGAAATACAACTCTGAATTATTCGACATGGTGAACTTTGGCCTTCTCTACGTGACTCCGTTGTGCGTCATGACGGTGAGTGAAAATAAATATGAATACGTTTAAATATACCCATAACTCCAACAAATCTAAAAACTATGAGCAAATAAATTACATACCCCCATACACAAATCTAAAAACTATAACTATCCGAACTGGTTCACTAAATCTCTAATGCATATACTTAGACAAAAATCCCACGCATGGACAAGATGGAAAAAATACAGAAATATTAACGACTATGAATTATTTTCTTTGTATAGAGCTAAATTTAAAAAAGATGTCGCCTCTTGCTATAAGAAATATATAAATACGGTGGAGGATAGCGTGTCTACCAATGTCAAAGCATTTTGGTCATTTGTGTCTAGCCGTAAATCCAGCAACAAGATTCCTCCCATAGTATACTACCAACAACAATCTTCGAATGATCCCACTACGATTTGTAATTTATTCTCTGATTTCTTCCATTCAGTATATGAACCCTCTACATTCAACCATAATTCATGGAAACCACCACCCGCTACTTCCGATAATGATATTAATATCTGCAGTTTACAATTTTCTGTAGACAAGATTCAAAGTGAACTTAAATTATTAGATGCATCCAAAGGACCTGGCCCTGACGGTATTCCCGCGGTTTTCTTGAAAAATACCTATGACACACTATGCGTTCCACTATATTTTTTATTTAATAAATGTGTCTCTAGTGGTACCTTCCCAGAGATCTGGAAATGTGCTAATATTATTCCGATCCACAAGTACGGCTCAAAAGATGACGTGTCTACTTATCGGCCGATTTCTCTATTGTCGGCACTGTCAAAACTCTTCGAGAGACTGGTTCATAACGAGATCTACCCCGTCTTGCGCCATGTGATATTAAAAGAACAGCATGGGTTTGTAAAGGATAGGTCCTGCGTGAGTAACCTCCTCATTTTTACGTCACATTTGTTTAACAGCCTTGATAATAGGCAGCAGGTTGATGCGGTAAATACTGATTTCCAGAAGGCCTTTGACAAAGTTGACCACAGGTTATTACTTGACAAGATTGCTTTTAATGGCATTAGAGGAAACCTGCTGCGTTGGTTTGCTTCTTATGTCACCAATAGGACTCAAAAAGTGGTAATAAATGGCTATGAGTCCAGTCTTATTCAGGTCACATCGGGAGTCCCACAGGGATCCATTCTTGGACCATTGTTATTCATTATATTTATTAATGACATTAATTCCTGTTTTGTAAATTCTAAATTTCTCCTTTACGCAGATGATTTAAAGATTATAAAAATATTACCAATCAATCTGACTGTATTGATTTTCAGATGGACCTTGATCGTTTCTTAGAATACTGCTCTTGCAACAAACTTCAGCTTAGTTTTCCAAATGTCATAGTATTACGTTTACAAAAAAGAAACTAGTAACCAAATTTAATTATCATTTTGGCAACACTGACTTAATTAAAGTTACCTGTCTACGCGATCTTGGAGTCCAGTTAGACTCCAAGCTTCATCTCGATGCGCACAAATAATCAATAAAGCCTATCAAATGTTCGGTTTTGTAATGCGAGCTTCTAGAGAATTCCACCGCCCTTCCACTTATTTATATCTGTATAAGTCCATTATCCGGCCACAACTAGAGTACGCAGTGCCTATTTGGAATCCTTTCTACAAAAAATACGTAGAAATACTGGAACTAGTCCAGCGTAAATACCTCCGTGCAATGCACTACAGATGTTTTCGTAAAAGACTTTCCTACCAATTATTGCTTGAAAAGTATAATATCCTGTCCCTGCAATCTAGACGAACACTCCTAGAAATGATGACCCTCTTCAGTATATGCCGCAACAACTTTGACTGTTCTGATCTTGTGAATGATTTGTGCTACCTGGTCCCTCGCTCAGTACACAGCAGAGAGGTGCGTTCACGGAACATGTTTGCAACTAATCTCCGTCATACCAATTCAGGTGCTCGTTCACCCATGCATCGATTGGTTGACACTTATAATAAAAGGTTTGCATCAATTGATATCTTATTACTAAGCAAGAACACTTTTCGACAACGAATCATTAACATTTTAAAAGAACGACCACTAGAGGTATAATACTCTGATCCTTAATGTAATTACTCCAGACTTTTTAATTTTATTTTTTTAATATGTTATTTGTGTTTCACATTCATATAGTGCACAAAATATATGTATATAATATATAGGTGGGTAAAAATATAGATAGGTACAGGTAAAAAGTAATTCAGCAATTCTGTAATTTAAATTTATCCTATGTTTGTATAGTTTGTAGCTTCAAGTTTGCCCCATTGTGTTTGCTAAGTACATTTATGGTAATCCGTGGCAACGTCGTGAGGAGTGTATTTGTTAAATCTATTATTTTACTCACCCGTGTTATATTTAATATACTGCTGTTTGTTGTCCTTGATAAATAAATAAATAAATAAATAAATAAATCACGATCTAACTGACGATAAGCGAATAAGCTTCGCTCAAACACCGCGTTTCAAAATTTATGACGCGAAATAACGACGTTTTGTCCTTAGGGTATTGTGTGATTGCTAACTTACCTACACCTTTTAGTAAAACCGTTGGTTTAGAAGTTGACCTTTAACAAATTTGTTTTGTATTAGAAGCAAGAATAGGTAATAATCCAGTAAAATCTTTTTAATATTTATAACAAAAGTCATAGCTTTTTTAGTCTTCTGCTGCCACAACTTTATCACTGATCGAAACACTATTGAGAAATTTACTATTGAACCAGGGGAAAGCAAGATTTTGGATATTTTTTTATTTTTCGGAAATATCAAAATAGTTGTTGGTATACGTTGTATTGTAAGTATAGTATTTTATGAGTGATCTCGGTGCTTCGTAACAAATTCGTCCATATATTGAACTTGTAAACTAATTGACAAAAGTTATTGCTACATTAAAGTACTTATTTACCTACCTGATTATCTTTAGGGAAATTTCGAAAACTACAAAACTTAGAACTACAATACCATAATGATTATTTGTAGAATGAAAACACGGTTCAACCTAACATATTCGAGCCCAAAATTTAATTTGCGTTAGTATCTAAACAAATTAAAACTTCGTTACAACCCAATAAAATAAGATTATTATTATGTTTACTATCAAAATATTGTTTGATCAACTGTCTTTTGATGTTGTAGTTATCTTATAAACAAGAAAAATGTGTAATATTAATGTTATTTGTGCCAATATTGTCATCCTACTATGAGTGATATTATATGCCGCGGAGGACTTAACGGGTTGCCGGGGCTCCGGCTCGAAGTGCAGGAGTAGGAACGGGGTGGTTTTTAGTCAGTTAGAGTCTGACACTCCCTCCCTCCTCACCCAGGCAGGAGAAGTCATTTGATAATTTTCCTCCCTTAAAAAAAACTATAAGTGATATTATAAATGCGAAAGTTTGTCAGGATGTAGTTAGTTACGGAGAAACTATTGGACTGAGGTTTGGGTAAGATGTGGTACATAGATAGATTATATTCTGATTATTAAATGGGTTAAATTTAATCCCAGAAAAGGGAAGCCGCCACACAGAGTCACAAATTAGTGTTTTATAATTTCAGGATTATAGCCTCAATTCTCTTTAAGTTAAATCCATGTTACGCCATTCTTTTTTATTGCTGACGTCACTCGTCGGGTGACGATCGACGGACACAATTTGCGACAGATATTGGACACTAGACAGCTGGACAAAGAGCTTATCAAGTGAAATTCGTCCCAATACAGCGACTTGTACTCGATTCTATCGTTTTATGAAAAGTAGCCGAATTGGCTGATATTACGTCCTACATTATGAAACTTTTTGGGAAATGTGTCAGATTATTCCATTAGATATATATGTCACACCGACATTAGTTAAATTGATACTTGAATTATCTAGTTTATCTCGGCAAATAATAAATCCAATATGGTAACTCGTACGATATTGGTTTTCGGTCGTCCGTAACTCGAAATATGTAGACTATTGTGCAATTTCATGACGGTAGAATAAAAAAATATCACCACCCGTACTATTTCCGTGGGTGTCGAAACAGTGGTCTAATAAAACGTAGGTAAGGGAATTTTAATTATACACACATTTACACTACACATTTATTTATTAGTCAAATATCGTGGAGAAGTATAATCAGGAGCAACACTGAACTGTGATGTTGGACCGGCAACAAGCCCACGACCGCCCTGTCAAGGGCGTACTAATAAGAAGGTTAATCCGTCTCCAGCCAGCCAGGCACTCATATTGTGTGGAGGATGTGCCCAGACCAATGGTGGCGTTGTCATGGGTTGTTGACTATGATGATTGTGCAATTTATAGAACATCCTTCCTCAATAATTACATTTTCATAGACTTGAATAATTAATTGATTATGACTAGTTTATTTTCACATTAGTAGGATTAAGATATAACGAGCAAAATCATATTTCGCATAAAATTTTAACTGTATGCAAATTCTGAACTAAAATCCCTTTACAGTGTACTCAAATATAAACCAAAAGAGTGTTTTTTAACTCATTTACACATTAAATGTTTAACTTGAAAATTTTAGTCGTGACGTTATGAGAGCGTTAAAGCTTTTATGAATAAAAATATACCTAGTTACGAAAGTAGTTTTTACGGCGCACATGTAATTAATATACATGATAATAGTATAATATAATATAGCCTTATTCCAGATAATGGTTATAGGTGACTCAGGAATATTCTTAATAAACGCATATTAATTTGTAATATATAATCTCATATCGTATAACACTTACTTAACAAATACTTTTTTCTAGGTAACGTTAAAAGTTTAATAAAGGTCATACGTTTAATGCTCAAATACTCAAACGCTACTCAATTTTAATCCGCGCTTAAGTGTAATTCTGTCACAACTAATTCTTAGTAAAATGACAGAGATGGCACGATATTTAACTTTTAGCATTTCAGTATTCTTTATAGACAGAGTTGACTTTATAGATAAACTGCATATTTGAATTAAATTCCCCAAGTAGTCCATTATAGACCTTAT